AGTCTGTTGTGGAAGGGGTCAAGCGTGGCAAAGAAGAATCCATGGATTACAGGCACCTGATTCAGCTGGTGAAGTAGAGGGATTTGATAAGAAAGAGGGCATGACTGAAAGGGAAGGAGGAGGTATGCTTCACAGAGGGAGTGAAAGGGATTTCTGCCAGAGAGTCTGTACTCCAGCAGCAGGACTAAAGAAAACAAATATCCAGAAGTGTAAAGGAGCGAGTGTGCTATGTGAGGGAGCCCTTAGGGAAGACTACGATGGGGAACAGAGTCATGGCATTGGCCGCAGCAGGAACAACCAGCTCTTGGGCTAGATAAAGTCATGTGCCATCTCATTTCACATGAATTTCTATTCTTTTGCATAAAGCAGAAGAGCCATCACAGCCTGGGCTGCTGAGAACTAACATAAAGACCCGGTGGTTAAGTTGTTCTCCAAGACAGGAGTCAGGGATTTGGATTTCTTGAAGGACAAGCATGAACTGAACATGGATGAGTACCACAAAATGTAAGCTATGGATTAGCTCCCTTTCTAGTAGCTGATAATATTCTGCCCCAGTGTCTGGGTAGTGGGGCACATACCAAAAAAAAGATACACTTATACTGAAACCTATCACATCAAAAACTTTCTGTAAATCTGGGATATATTTAAGAATAAAAGCTGAACAAGGAGTGCAAATTGAATTAAGCTGTCCAAATATGCACACTGAAAAACATAAGAGTCCCAAGAGCAGAAAGCTCTTTAATTTACCAGGCAAGTGGTTAAGAAAATTCAGTAACAGATACTTGAAACTTGGCAAGTTTGAACTAGGAGTCAGGCAGATATTTTTAAAGCAGGTATAGTTAAACCATTGGAACAACTTTTAGGTACATGATGGAGAATCAGTCTTGTAAATCCTTAAACGAGCATTACATTTCTTCATAGGAAGGTAGTTTCTGATTTAGACAGACCATAAAAACTAAACATAGGAATCTTGCTGTCAAGTTATATTGGAATTCAGAATAGCTGATCATAATGGTTTAGTCAGTTTGTTAAAATGAATTTGTCTCAGCAATGACAAAGCAAGGGAGTTTCCTCTTGTAACTTCCAGCCCCATACCATTCCCTGTTGGAAGGTTTGTTTCTGAAATAGCAAGAAGATCATCAGTGTAGATTGTATTGAGACAACAATTTTCAAAACAAAAAAAAACCCTTCCATTTACTGTTATATAGTAATAAAATCTGGTTTCAGGCCACCACATAAAAATAATTAATTTGGTCGATGTAAGCTATAACTAGAGGAACCTATTTGTATTTGAAAACCTTTATCAAAGGTTTACTCTAATAGGTAGGTATCTAATAGGTACCTAAAAATAGGTAGATATTAGAGTTAGAAACTATCAGTTCCTAACTCTTGACAGACGTGAAGCCATTTTCCCAGTCTATCGCCAGTTCATTTCACTATAACCCCTTTAAATAGACGTCATAACATCCCTTTGCTTTCAAGCTTAAAGTTTTGGCAGGATGCGTGTGTGGGGAGGTGGTGATTCTGAGATACTGGAAGCTTTCCAACAGGATAACAGCATTTTCCAGACATCCTGCTATCATCAATTCATGGATGCATGTAACTTCTTATCATCTCCATTGCAGGCCATGGCTCTCAAAGACACTTCCTGCACCACTGTTCATATAGATTTGTTTTTCTGTTCAGAAAGATAGGAGAGGAAAAAATCAGATACTTCGCCATTAAAAAGGACTGGAATAGTTAACGTCTGAAATAGTTTGTAGAGAGTATTTCAAATAAGAGATTGAAATGCTGGATAAGGGGAAGCCCTTTGAAGATTGTGATCAAGTTTCATCTTTGAAGACAGCCAAAGAAAGCAGACAAACTTAATGGAAGAGGTTACTCAAGGTGACTTGCTATCACTGCTCCTGAATGTGAAAGCAGCAGGTTAATAAGAAGTTCTTCTTTTTCTTTGGGTATAGAAAACCAGCAACACAATCACACTGAATTTTAACTTGTCAGTGACTATGGTGAATTCCCCTTCCACTCAGCCTTTGACAGCAGGGTCTAGGGGTTTCGTATGTCACGTGTGGAGAGGCTACAGGTTAACTACTTCAAAACAACCACCTACAAGTCTTAGTCTGATTAGCATACAATACAAGGATCTGATTAAAGCAAAGACATTTCCTTTAATACATATGTGCATGCATGTACATATATTCCACTCTGCAGACATTTAGCCTCAGCCCTGATATCTGCTAAAGGAGGCTGGGTGAGGGAGTTCTTGGAGGGACATGTGAATTTAATTTCCAAAGCAGCAGTCTGACAACACAGCTAAGTACCACTTGCAATATAGTGCCATCATGTAGGTATACAAAAGTCTTCCCAAAGAATTTTCCCAGCATCAGATACTTAAAAAAAAAGGCTAAAACACAGAGCATTACCAAGATCTCTGGAATCTCCTATAAATATCAGCTAGCTAGTAGTATGAGAGATTTGAGTTAATTCTTTAAGGCAAAGAGAGCCAAGGGCAACTGCAGAGACTCCCAGAGGGGAAAGCAACATCCATGGTTCAAAAGAAAACTTCAGGTGATCCATTATGAAGTTTCCATATTGCAAGGATGGAAAAATATTGTGGCACGCCTGCACACTGAAAAAAAACTGCTCAGGAAACCTTTAACTTTGTCTAAGATGCACTTGTAAATGCCACAGATACTTTTTCTTGTCTGCATGGTTTATCTAACATGTACTGTGGACCCTTCTTTTCCATTAGAAATACCTTGTTCATGTAACTGACTTTTGGAAAGCATTAAAATGTTGTCAGTAACAAGGAGATATAAATTAAATTCCATTAGACTAGAGGGACAAAGAAAAACAAGAAACTAAAGCTAACCTTGCAGTAGTTTTCCTCACTCACGTAACAGAAGTTACTGAGGTAAAACAGGCAAAGTGAAAAGAATGGTATATGATATCACAAAATATGTGGGAGATACTGAATAAATTTCAGTGTTATTTCAATTTTTATTTCTTTCATGTGTTGTATTTTTCTAGGAACATATTTAAAAGATTCTGTCTACAATACACACATCTGTTTCTTCTTGAATGTCTGCTGATGAACACAATAGTAAAACAATTCCACAAAATCCACCAAAACAAACAAAAAAAAATCCCAAACCAGCAACACTTCTCCTTCCCATCCCAAGAGAAAACCCTCTACCTGCTTCTTTAGTTCAAGTCTATGAGGTGTTTTTGGCTGGGTACAGAGCAGCAAGTAAACACAGATATTACTGCAGCTCCTGCAGCCGCTAATGTCTTCTTTTTCTGAGATCCCAAAGACTGGGATAATTACATTCTGCAAGAGGCAAAACAATCTATTAAAAAAAAAAAAAAAGACACATTCTCTTATTAAAAATTAAATAGGACTTTCATAATCAGCTGCTTCAAATATGCGTGAATAATGACAGCCAGAAACCAGTCTCTGCAGATTGCTCATGAAGTGGGTGTGAAGCTGAAGTCAGGGTAAGAAAAAAATCACAGTGATAAAAGAGTGCTTTCTTGGAGCTTTTACAAGGTCATTTGGCCTAGGCCAGATAAAAGTGAATGTTTCTCCAATACCCTGTGACAAGAGAGAGAAAACAGAATTAAAAATTATCTTTTCCAGCAAAAACAAAAATCAAAGTCAACTTCTCTAGGATTAAGTCCACTGGAAAATAAAGTCTCCCTTTTCTTCCGACAGGTTTTAGCTTTTAATTATGTAAAGCTTTCATGAAGGGATTTCTATCTTTTTGTAAATTTAATTCACAAAATGTCCTAATTATCTGCAGACATATTAATAACTCTTTGAACAATGTATTAATGTAGCAAGCTGAAATGTGTTTTCAAAACAATGCTAAAACGAGGCTTAAAAAAAGTACAGTCATCCATAATTCTTGTACAGTTCATATGTAAATATATTATTGGCATTGTAGATATTGTGAAAAACAACAAAGAATCCAATGCGTTGAACTCCTTCAGCTGGCCACAGTTTACAAAACGTAATAGTATTGTGGGCTGCAAAAGATGCCTGTTTCTTCCCCTGTGGGGAACTGCCTTTATCTACTTATTGTCATTTCTTTAGTGAATTTGAGTTAATATTTAATAACAATTTTACTCCTCATAAAACTGAAAAGACAACTCATGGGAGGCCAACAATATTATTTAGATACCATCTTCAGAATACAGCCCTGCTGCAAAAATACCGAAATAACTGTTGGAGCAGAAAAAGAGCAAAAAAGTTGCAGAAAAATATCTGCTTTTGTGGGAGAAGGGCTGAAATCAAGGGCCTTTTGTAAGTTTGATTTTTTTAAATTCCTCTTTATAAAATCCTAGCTCTCAAAAAAAGAATTTTTTCAAAGCCATCTCCTAAGGCAAGAATAATGTGTGTCAGTACCTGAACTCGCTTCAAAAGTCTCCCAGCCTAGAAGTAAAGGCTCTGCACAAATCTTTGTATCGGAACTGGGAATTAGGGTAGGGAATCCCTTTCAGAAAAGAACATAGGTGCAGTGAGCCTTATGAAAAGGTCATTTGAAAACAGAGGACCTGATTTCTCTGATTCAATAGTGGTGTTTTACCAACAGCCTCCACCGATACGAACAGTTTCCCTTCTTGCTCACAGGACATAGCAGGAAGAATAGAGCCCACACCAAAGTCCTACTCTTTCACTCAAAACCACTGAAAGTTTGCAGAGTTGCCTTGTGCATTTCCAGCCACGTTCCTCAGCTGCCCAGGTTTATCCCCTCACAGTCCACGACACAGAGAATGTGGATGTTTTGAGGTATTAGCCTAAATATCAAGGCACCCCCAGCAGATGCCTTCCATGCCATCAGCACTTCCTCTGACTTAAAATACGTATTCTGCAGTTCTTTACGAATGAAGATGTTTCAGAATAGATATGTGCCATTGCTTGGCCCCAAAGACAGTGTTGGAAAGCATTTATTTTAAGATCCTCTCTCACATTAGTTGAGAATTAAACCACATAATCTTTCATAATGAAATATCAAATACGAAGCTAAATTAACACCAGCATTGGTACTAAGAAGAATGAAAAAATTCATTATTCTTACCTTTCTCCTCCTTTATTCCAAGTAGTTTGAGTCCTGGATAAAAGAAAAAGAAAATGCCTTAGTACGTGTACATTGTACTATGTACAATGTACAGTGCAATCACGTAGTTATGCAAGGAATTATGGTTATCCAGTTGTGTGGAACTTTCTTGATTACTTGGTGCCCTTTCCTGTCTTTTGAAACTCCACTTAAAATAACAAGAAAACTCTTCTGCAAGATTCCAGTTCTCACAATAAATATTTCTTCTATTTGAACTCAATATGAATAGCAGGTTGTATCAACTCAGGACATAAACATATCTTGTTTTTGCTGGGAAAAAATCAGTCTAGAAATGTTCCAAATATCTTCAGATGCCTCAATCTTTTCTTGATCTCACACAATTTGAAAGAGCGAAAAGTTTCTTCTGTTCCTCCCCAGACTCCCAATATTCTTTTAGGATGAGACTTTCAAAGGGAAGAATGATTGAGCTCAAAGTCAAGCCAGGCAGAACACATCTGCATATGCTGTTTGACTGCCTCGTCAAAGGTAAGTCATTAAACTCAGCTGCAGCATGCCTGGACCTGCTCATCTGAGGTCCCTATATCGATGCTGATACTTCTGCTGAGCCGTTTATTTATTTTCTGCCATCCGTCTGCCAGAAAAGACAAGCACATTACTCTCAATAAAAAACCCCAAAACAACAGTTTGGGGAAAAAACTTAATAATCTTTCCAACTCAGATTGTAAATAGATTAGCCAGGTTACAGCTAAGTTAGCAAACCATACTTTTCATTAAAACAAACATAACCATTGTAGATTGCACTCTGGAACCTTCTTATATAAATATTCTGTTCTCAATATTCGCATGTTAAATAAAAGCTTTTTCTTTGTGCTGGGAAACCAGGATTTTCAGTTCAACTTTATCCACCTAAAAGTTCATGAAAATCTGCATTAAAGACTGATTGCATATGGAAAACTGTGGCATGCGTGATGGCCTTGTAACTTCAGCAATCTTTGAGCTATGGTTCTTCTTTACTGTGCAACAGTAAACTTCATGACATGTTCCCTCTCAAATTGGTAGCAAGGAGCATAAATCAAGTGCTGGTTGAGACTCCAAGAAAACATTCCCATGGATCATGCTACAAGAACTAAGCCAAGTGCTAACCCACAAACTATGTTTATTCAAAGTAGTTTTATCCATAAATCATATTTCCTCAAAACAGATTTATCCAGCATCCATCGAGTTCCTGTTCTACATATGGGAAAGGAAGGGAATGGGGTTTCCTGTCACACTGCACCTGTGTATTCAGGGCATAGCTGCTTCCCACAACAAACATCTAGAATTATGCATCCACTGAAAGAGCAGAGTCAGCATCTGAGAGTGCATTTCTCATTTTTATGCATGACACCGGGGGTAATGGAGACATAGAACAGGAAGGTGTAATATGTCATGTTGCCTTCTAGATTCTGAGTTTACTATAGCTCAGAGAGTTTCAGCAAGACAACTAGTATTTCATTAAAGAAGAGTAGACGTATAAATTTCACACACTCACCATGTGGCCTCTCCCCATTAATAGAATAGACAAAAGGGTCCTTGACAGTGCTCCATGTCCACACAGAAAATAAACACGGGCTCTGTTACAGGCTTGCCATGCATTAGCACTTGGCTTCTGCAAATCCCGCTGTACTTGAAAATGTGCAAATCTCAGAAGGGAGTGAATACAAAAATGTGCAACTGTTTTAAAGTTATTCTTTTGTAAAAATATAAGTGTTTTAATATTTAAATAAAACTGATCATTCGTGCCATTACAGTGAACAGATATTGTCTCAGTCATAGGTCCCAGCTGAGTAAGGATTAAATCTTATTGATTAAACTTTGATGTCAAAATGACAACTGTTACTTTTTTTACCCTCCTATCCTAAAAGGTTTATCCTTATGTTAGAGACAATGGCAGAGCAAAGGACATCAAAACTTTCCTGATAGCATACAACAAAACTCGATGCTCTCTCAAGTGTGCAGTAGTTCACAGACAGAAGTGGAAATTCATTAATTTGTCTTCCCATTAAAAAAGGAAACCACACAACCACCCAGAGAGCGCCCTGGCATTTATAACCAAAAAGAGAGAAAAGATTACTTTCTTGAAGATCCTTCTTGAAATAACAGCTTATGAATACTCCTAATAAAACACAAGATGTCTGGAGAGCAGATGAATTAATGAAAACCAGTTTTCTATCGATTAGGGGACAATTGGGCAATGCAACTGTTCTCCTCTCCCCTGCCCAGACAGACACAATAAATTCGCCTTCCCCTCCCTCCTCTCCATGTCCCCTGTGATATCCATGTCCTCTTTTGTATCCTTTAGCCCCCAGGAAAACAGGGCAGAGCTGCAGCTGCTCTGGAGCTGTGCCCATGCTGATCGGCCGGAGGGCGGCTGCCGAACAACGCACAGAGTGCCCGGGTCCTTCCCACCACCCCTCGGAGCGGGGCACTCTTTGGGGGTCTCGCCTCTGTCAGCCATTGCTTATCATGAAATGCACAGAAGCTTAATTATCTTTGAGACTTACACTCCCTTTCAAATTTGGCTGAGATTGGCTGGCAGGTCAAAAACCTTATTACAAGTAGTCAGACAGCGGGATCATACGAACCTCATTTCCTTAGGAAACCAGGCTAATAGGACAGTGAAAAATAGAGCAGGTATATCAACAACATGACGAGTTGTTCAGTTTCTGTTAAGTGTGAAGCTGTTGTGACGGTTAAGAGTTCAAACATGAAAAAAAGCAGTGGGAAGGATAACAAACATTTCCTCTTTGCTGCCACTGCGTAGATGGAGCAGACTCAAAAATTACCTGCGGGTCTTAACTCTGGGAACCTTTTTAATTTCTTTTAATCCTAGTATATAGTCTGACCTGCTTCAGTTTGTTCCCTTGTAATGTAAAACATTATGCTGCAGACTACATGACTTGTAAGTCCCACCTGGAGTTCAGTTCTTTTTGCTTAAAATCCCAAGGGAAAGGAGAAGAATCTCAGTATAATCAAAGGCAATGAGGTTGCAGCCTCTAGCCTGTCTTTTGAGAGATATTTTTCTTTCTTGCTCTTGTTGCCAATACTCATTTTTAATTCTTTTCCATGATGACATATTCTTTCATAGTTTATTCTTTCCCTGCTTTGTTTAGTCTTCAAATCTCACATCATAGCGTAAAGGAAAAATGGATAATCTAGTATTACCCAACAGAAGGCAAGCTCCTTGGGAGCCATTAAGTAAACATCAGAGTAGGAAATTTATCACTTCTACACACAGGGTTTTATTGCATTTGTGTTGATGCATTCTTTGAATACATACATCAAAAAAAAAAGCATAGATCGGCTGCGTACGTCACAGAATCGTCTGTTGTTAAAACGGCCTGGGCTGAGCGTGCTCGTTTGGTGGTACCAACACCTGCCCTGTGCAAGAGGACATATGGCATCTGGCTAAAGGCAAACCCCTGCTCCCTCTGCAGAAAATGGCAAGGTTTTCAGTGGGGACAGCAGGCGCTCTGAGGGAGATGCTCGAGTTTAGGTATTGAGGATCTTGGCTGTGTCACACATTTTCTTCTGAGTTTATCAGGAAACAGTTTACAAATTGGGATAAAGGAAGCAAAGTGAAATAAAAGTAATGATTTCTGCCCTTGCTGCCTTTGTTAACCAGGCCCCATCCAGCAGACTTTACCTTTTGCCCCTTACTAGGTATCAGTCGGCTCTGTCCTACCTGAAGTCTTTAATTCTGCTACTTGCAGACATGCCATCCTTCAGGAGGTGGTTCAGGCTTGCCATACAGAGTGCTCTCTTACACTCTTTTGCTAGCCTGGACATCTGTAGTTTGGCTTCCAACAATTCCTGGATTGCCTGGCATGTGATACAAGCCTTACCAGTAAAGCCTCTAACCAACTGGTTCTCCAAGCAGCTCCCTGCAGACCTCATGGGAGGTTGAGCTGGCAGATCCTGTCTCCTCTCAACAAGACCAAGAGAACTGCTATGCACACAGGTGGCCTCAGTCCAAGGTTCCTGAGCCCTCTGCCATGATTCAGGGCTTGCTCAAATCTTGTAGTGATTAAGATACCCTTTTTCCACTTCCAGTATATGGACAACTCCAGCAGCAAGAATATCTGCTTCTTAATTATGTCTTGACTTCATAGATGCTTGAACCCATGTCTTCCTGGTGTTCATCTGCCAACATACACATCCTCACCAGACAGTCCAACTGATCCAATTCAAACTTTTCCAGTTTATCAACTAAACGTCTTTCTCTACACTGGCACGTTCACTAAATTGTTAGACTCTCATCCTTTTCCTGCTCAGTCTTTGTAAATCTTCCATTTCTGCACAAGAGTCCTCTCAGCAATGGAATTTAAACCTAATGGAAATTTCCATGATAGGAATACTAAATTTTATTTTTTTTTTACACTGCAGAGTGCGATTCTAAATAACAGTCATATTAATACCTCATTAGGAAAGCTGAAAAAATTAATGGATGTTTAATAGGCTACAGTCAAGATATCTTTTCTTCAAAGAATCCTTACAAATACGATGTATTTTACATTGGGTGCAGTTGGGTCTTCTTTGTCATAATTTTATATGGATAAAAAGTGAACAGCTGTACCTTTCATGGGATTTTCCCCCTCCAATTTCAATATCTTATTAAAATGTTTACAGCATTTCCAAACATCTTGCATTTAAAGACTTTCAAATAATCCCTTGCCATTTCACTACCCTTGTTCTGAACTTAAGGAAGTACCTTGGATGCAGTTCCTTGCAGTAAGTACCTTGCACACAAAGCCACTGAGTTCTGCTGCAAGTGCCACTGTTCCTCCCCCCTCCCATTTGAACAGCTTATATTTAAGACAGGATTTCTTCTTAAAAGAAGGCCAGAGCTGTAACTTCTGCCAGGTAGACTAAACACACACAGACACATAATAGTATCTGGGGAAAAAGTAAACTTTTAAACAACCTCATTGCTTTCATGTTCTGTACCCAAATCTTACCCAGGCACCATTACAGAGGTAGTCAGGACTCCCAGAATATCCAGGTTGTGTTTTGTTCTGCAGTCGGTCCAGGAAAGCATTGTTTACCCTTAAAATAAATAAATAAAAAAATAAGAATAATGATTGAAGGTAGCTGAGGAGTTCACAAACTTTTGAAACTTAGCATTTTGTGAGCGGCTTTCTCTATTCTCAGTTCAATACCCACCTTCCTTGTTTTTCAAGCTGTGCTGCCACAGACTGGCACAGAGATAGGGTGGATTTAATTTTCATTTCAGTAGGTGCATCTTTACCCTGTGATCAGTCCACTATGATTAAAAGGCATACCTTGGATGCTGTGAGAAATGCACTGAAATTCTCCGTAGAAAGGCAATGTGCATACTACCCGCCTTATCAGCTCTTTTGACAATTCAGCTTCGGTAGTCTTTCAGCCTTGAGTACACAAAGAGAGTTTCTGGAAGTACTAATTTCCTAATGCCAATGAAAAAACCCGCTTAAGTTCGTTACTGATAGAGACAATTTGTGTCGCTGACAACTTTCCTTACCATTAGGATCTGAAATAAACTCCAGCGTTTTCTAGTACTGCTCTATCAATCTGGAAAGCATGGACAAATACAAATACACTTTTCCTCAATCTGTTTTAAATACCTTCAAACCTTCTGAAAACTGTTTCTTTTTCCCCCCCTATTAATGCTTAAGACTGACACACATGCTTAGCCATGACTTGTTTTAATGTTTTATAGTGCTATTGGTAAGAATGATGTAAAATGAAAGATACTGGAATATTTCTGTCTAGGGACATGAGATAGACTGAATCGAAAATCCTTCATTAACTTCTATGGGTAATTATTTCAATATCTTTGCTGGAGAAAAAAAAGAAAAGAAAACGGTATGGAGAGTGGTTGCCTACAGAAGTCATTTTTTTGTACATTTCTCGAATGATGTAAAAGAAGAAACAAATGGTGTTTTATTTTTGAGCCTGAGCGTTGTTTCTTTTTACCAGCAGAAGACAAAGCTGAGGACAAAGCTGTGCTTCAAGGTAATGGAAAGTCAGTTAAGTGACAGAAGTGCAAGATGAGAACGGCTGAGCAGAGAGGGCACAGCAGCGGGGCACAGCCCGGGGCACGGAGCCATGCAGCTGCAGAAGGCCTTGCTGCACCGCAGCTTCTATCTGTAGCGATACCAAAGCCCACGTTTAGCTCTGCCTGTTAACCTCAGTGACAGTCAACCACAAAACGTGGCATGGACAAAGTAGCCCATTCTAAAATTAAGTAGAAATAAATAGGTAGATAGATAAGACAGACAGACAGATCGATTGATCGAGACAAGTAAAATGTTTCCCAGCTGAAACTACTGTACTAGTAGTTACCCATGAAACTATTAATAGTTTCTACCCCATGCTGTATCCTATGCTGATAGGATAAATAAAATGCAAAAAGGCACCCTGGGGCATAGTGCATTACAGTGAGCAGTTGTAATGATGGATATTAGTGGCTCGTTTGAAAGCAAAGTTAAACCAGAGGCAAGGTCAGGGATCCTCATTGCAATCATCTCCTAAAGCATGAATGCCGGCAATTTTGAGACCCTTTCCAGATAGGAATTCAGTTAAAGTGTATTCTGCCCTTTTGCATCATACCTCCTCTGTTCATTTTGACGTGCTCTTCTCCATGCTTCCTCTTCCTGCTTTTTTTTAAATTCCATTGATTCAGCCTGGGAATGATAAAAGTGGGGAAAAAAAAAAAAGAAAAACCCTCAACAAACTTACTTTTAATTAACATACCTATGTTGCAAACCCAATTATTTCCACATGGTGTTAGCTCCAGCTAGAGCCACACACCATTCCCAGAACTTCTCTCACTGTGTTAAAACCCACTCATTTGTCTGTTCAGTGTTGCACTGGATGAGTTTTGTTTGTGCCTTGAAAAGTGGGAAGTTACGGGAATCAGACATTTCCAGTCCTACATTTAAAGGGGTATGCCAGACACCAGTCTGCTTCCCCTTGCCTCAATCCACAGGTTTGCATTTCCCTGTAGGTCCAAGGGGGAATACAGACAAAGTCATCTATCGGGAGCAGACGCAGCCGTCGTGCCTGTAGGGTACGAAGGAGACATGCCCTTCGCCTCCTGCCTCCGCGGAGCGCGAGGAGAAGACGAGAACAGGGGTATGTGGCATGGTGTGTCACCTCCAGCTCCCTGGGGCTCCCCCACAGGTGAGGGAAAGGCAAATGGTACCTGTTGGTGTGGTGAAAGCGTGAGCAAGCTCCCGGCATTGCAGCAGCCTACCATCCTTATGTTACGTAAGATTAAGGTATATAAACAGTGTCAAAGGGAATTCTTTTCAGAGGAGAGTTTGCTTATGCAATTTTAGCCAGGACTGCAAAGGAAACACAGCTTGCATGACTCTGCTCTGCATGTGTGCTTGTTTGTCTGGCTCTTGCTCCCTGCAATGCACCCAAGAATTGAAGATGCAGATTCTTCTGCAAAGAAAATTTGGCTTGCAGGGTGGGGGGGAAGGGATAGGAATAGACCCATCTTTCATATTTTCCATAGCAACTGAGCAGCAGTAGGAATAGGAACTAAAATAAAATGATGCGGTTAGATAAAAGCGTCAATAACTGAATGGAACCACAAAAGTTTTTTTTAAAAAAATCAATTTAAGTGGAACATTAAATAAAAATTATGCAATAAATGTATGAAGAAAATCAATAACTGCAAATGTGTTGTGTATCAATATTTGTCTAGCCCTAAAAGAAGAAACAGGATTAAGAAATAAAAAAGCCAACCTTAATTTTCGCTGTTTTAAATAACTATTCAACCTGAAAATTAAAACGCAGTATCTGGCTTTCCAATATGCTGAGTCCTCTCTTGGAGTAATGTTCTGAAATATATTGTGTGCATATGATGTGGTGTTCAAAGCGTACTGAAAATTTCTAAATCAAGCAATACATACTAAAACCTGTTCTGGAAAAAAAAGGGGAACTGACAATACCTATACGTTTTATAGCTACGCTGTGCTAGGAGGTACACACAAGACAGAATTCACAATTACTTTAATAAATATTAGTTTGAAGTAGACATGAGCCAACATATATCTGAGGGACAATTATTGGAGCCTTTAAAATACGTATAATTTACAGTGGGTTTGTAAGTAGTGCATTACTCTGCACAATAGGTAGCAGCAACTGTGAAGGCAAGGAGCTCTTGGAACCATGTACCGAGCAAGAGCAGCCTTAGAAGCAGCCAACACCTTCTCAGCAATCTGTGGAAATCAGTAAAGAGTCTAAAGCTCTACATGAGTCCTTTAATCCAAACTCATAAGTAGGTTCATGTTAATTCACATCGGTAGTCATTTCCCCTGTGGAAAAATCAATGTAAAGAATACAATGGCTACCGACCTTACACCCATCAGGATTGGCTTTCAAAAATTTTTCCTCTGTATAACTCCTGGGAATAAGTATACAACTGACGGGAAAGCAATTAAGAGCCTCCTTTTTCCCCCACCTTTTGTCTCCAGCATCCTGGTTGCTAGAGTACTATGAAATGAGGGCAAATCCCCCTACGTTTAAAGACAGATATCCGTGAGAGGGGCTGAGTCACTTGTTCAGCTCTTGTAGAAGGTCACTGCGTGGAATTTGTTGCACTAAGATTCGGTTACTGGGGAAGTAGTTTAACATTAATTTGGATGTTAGCAACAGCAGAGGCATAGCAAGAGGCTCTGTATTTACTAACATGGTTTCGAAGGGTATGCTAATATGATTTTCAAATGCTGCCCTCCCCATACTTGCACAGTCAGACCTGGAGCCAAGAGAGATAACTTAGCACAGTGCCATCACCTTGTGTAGGTGAACTTTATGTGGATATGGTACCCAAACCTATGCCAGAGGGACTACAGTGGTTCAGCTGCATTCCAGGCAATGCGTGCCGCATATGCAGAAGATGGAGTTCAAACTTGCAGTTACGGCATGCCTGCTTTTTAGACAATTCAAAACTCTTCATTTAGGTGGTTAGCAAGGGAACAGAGAAGCACACAGACTTAACAGCAAATCTGAGTGCTTCCACATCCCCATTTGGGAAGGCAGGGCACACGGGCCTCGATTCTCTAGAAAGGAACTATTCAGAGTCAGATCATTATGAATATCTCAGTAAGATTACTTCTGCCTGAAAGAGAGAAAATTGCTTTCCTCAGCCTATGAAATCAGGTGCCATGGTCAAAAACCGCTCTGCACAACTGTTCAAATGGAGAGAACAGGAGCTAGTCATCCTGATGCAAATCGCCTTGTACACAGAAGATAATTGTCCTGTCCCTGTCCAAATTTTACAGCTTGGCTCATCTCTCTCACAATATTTGAAAACAGTGACTGAATCACTTTTGCTGAAGAGAAGCTCTGTGCGTAGGCTACAAGTAATCAATGTATTTAATTGGTTTCACAGCATGCAAAAATGCTACAGTATGCAAACTGTTAATGTATAATTACCTTCCTCCGTTGTTCTTGCTTCATTTCCTCTAATCTTCTGTTTTCATCCTCTCGAAGAGCTTGCTTATAAGTATGGCTTCTCATCTATTGTTCAGCAGAGAATATAAACATATTGGTGTGGGGAGGGGGGCGGAGGGCATCAAAATCCCAAACCTTATTCCCAAATCATTAGACGGGTAATTAACAAAAGACAAATGGTTGAATGATTCCAGTTACTTAAAAACCAGATTAGTGTCAAGAGTCGAATTTAAACAAGAAGTGGTCTAAAGCCTCTCAGTCATTCGGTTTGGCTGAATGTCCACCTGCACATCACAACCAGGCAGCAACAGCACATGCTATTCCGTGCCCCTGTGACAAGCATAAAGATATCCTGAGCAGTTAGAAAACACAATCAGGATATCCGATAGGGGGTATTCTGGGAAGAAAGAAAAGTACTGAAAATATTACCAGGATAACAAAGAAGAACGGAGGCCTGGTAAGAAAGGGGAACCCAGGATTATTTGTGTAAAGGCATTTGTGGAGGTAGGGCAACAGGAGCTGAGAGATCAAGTCTGCTACGTTATTTGTGGGGCAGCCAAGAGAACTGAAAATCTGAACCACACATCATGAATAATGTATTCAACTGTGTAGTAGGCTTTCGTTACAATAACCAGCCCTGGTCTTTCACAAGTTGTAGCTGTTAGCAAAAAGCCAGCCTATCATTAGGATCTTATAGCATCCTTAGGATCTTACACATAGGAACTTACACTGTAAAGTCTTTGAGCAGGGACATAGTGTAGCACACTAAATAATGAGCCAGTATAATTTAATACAAGTGTACAGGTTTGACTTTAGCGAGGAATTTGTTGCAGGTCTACACAATGTTCTCAAAACTTGATATATGCATGCAGAATGACACCATTAAAACAACAGGCACACAATTTGCTAAAAAGACTGAATAGAGAAAGCAATTATTAACAGCTCAATCTTGAGCTGGGAGGAGTTGTTACATGTGTCCAGGGTGACTCATTCTGGGTCCAGTATTATTCATTACTCACTGTAATGGCTTGGAGAATTGTGTGGAGTGTATGTTAATCAAGTTGGAAGACAATAAAAATCTACATAGGATTGGTAACACTTTGAAAGACAGGATTAAAATTAATTATGAGCTTGATTAAATAAGCAGGCCAAAAAAGTCACCAATGACAGAGTCACTCCAAAGAAGTTAAATTTGTTCATGCACATCAAGTAATATTTGACACTGATATTTGAGCTAGGCATGCTAAATTAATATCACTATCAAAGAAATGTGAGAAAAAGAATTCGATCAGCATTACATTGTCCTAAACTTTTTTTAGAACATTAATTTTAAATTTAAAACCTCACATGTATGTATACCCCCCCCCCCCCCCCCTTTTAGCATGCATGTCAGGCACTTCCTAAGCTTATCACACTTCCCTATTTCACATACATTGTTCCTGAATCTTTTATTAATTCAGACAAAAGGAAGGGTTTATTGCTAAAAAGACTGAATAGAGAAAGCAATTATTAACAGCTCAATCTTGAGCTGGGAGGAGTTGTTACATGTGTCCAGGGTGACTCATTCTGGGTCCAGTATTATTCATTACTCACTGTAATGGCTTGGAGAATTGTGTGGAGTGTATGTTAATCAAGTTGGAAGACAATAAAAATCTACATAGGATTGGTAACACTTTGAAAGACAGGATTAAAATTAATTATGAGCTTGATTAAATAAGCAGGCCAAAAAAGTCACCAATGACAGAGTCACTCCAAAGAAGTTAAATTTGTTCATGCACATCAAGTAATATTTGACACTGATATTTGAGCTAGGCATGCTAAATTAATATCACTATCAAAGAAATGTGAGAAAAAGAATTCGATCAGCATTACATTGTCCTAAACTTTTTTTAGAACATTAATTTTAAATTTAAAACCTCACATGTATGTTCCCCCCCCCCCCCCCCCCCTTTTAGCATGCATGTCAGGCACTTCCTAAGCTTATCACACTTCCCTATTTCACATACATTGTTCCTGAATCTTTTAATTACTCCAGACAAAGGACAGGTCTAAGATAACATCAAAATTAGAGTTCAAGTTTTCCCACTGGTTTAGCATTTTGGTACTACGCCAAGCCTATTTAGATAACAACTCATCGGTTACGTGCTTCAGATTCCTCACACAGAGCACAGAGGCTGAGCGCATGCCTATGGACCGTACCTTATAGAAGGTGGTTGGGAAGAGAAAGGCACACATAGGTAAGTGAAGTAGAAAGCAAAGGCTAAAAGTAGGACCTGCACACCTGAAACAATTCAGAGTTCCTCCAGGCATCCACCCACTTCTGTACAGAAATGAAGACATCACACCAAAATGCTGAAATCCAAGTCAGTCCTGGGGCCATGAGCTCACTTGTCTTTGCAGTTCAATGGCCATACCATATGAAAGGCTGCAGAGCTGGGTCTTCCCTACCGAAGAACAAGCTCCCCACTGTTTGGAGCGTCAGATGCTTCAAGAGGGAGGGAGAAGTGTTTTCAAGACATCTTTTCTCCCTTTCCACAGTCCTTCATCTTGCTTGTCCACCCAAGACTACAAAAGACAGTCTGAAAGCCACTCTCCTGCAATTGATCTTCTGCCCAGCAATGCTGGGCAGAAGTTAGCTCCTTCAGGCTATATATCTGCCCACATATGCCAAGATTTCTTTAGGGTTTTCAGAGACGCAAAATGACCTGAGGAATCAAAGGCGAAATGAAGCTATTTTCAATATCACCTTCCCTTTTCATGCAATCATAGAATCATAGAATAGTTTAGGTTGGAAAAGACCTTTAAGATAATCAAGTCCAACCATTAACCTAACCCTGCCATCCCACCACTAAACCATGGCCCTAAGCACCTCGTCTACCCTTCTTTTAAATACCTCCAGGGATGGGGACTTGACCACTTCCATGGGCAGCCCATTCCAATGCTTGACAACCCTTTCAGTGAAAAAAATTTCCCTAATGTCCCCTGGCGCAACTTGAGGCCATTGCTCTTGTCCTATCCCCCGTTACCTGGGAGAAGAGACTGATACCCCCCTCCCTACAACCTCCTTTCAGGCAGTTGTAGAGGGTGGTAAGGTCTCCCCTCAGCCTCCTCTTCTCCAGGCTAAACAACCCCAGTTCCCTCAGCCGCTCCTCATCAGACTTGTGCTCCAGACCCCTCACCACCGTTGTTGCTCTCCTCTGGACATGTTCCAGCAACGCAACATCTTTCCCGTAGTGAGGGGCCCAAGACTGAACACAGTATTCGAGGTGTGGCTTTACCAATGTGGTGTACAGGGGCATGATCACTTCCCTGGTCCTGCTGGCCAGCTATTCCTGATACAAGCCAGGATGCTGTTGGCCTTCTTGGCCACCTGAGCACACTGCTGGCTCATATTCAACTGGCTGTCGACCAGTACCCCCAGGTCCTTTTCTGTCAGGCAGCTTTCCAGCCACGCTTCCCCAAGCCTGTAGCGTTGCATGGGGTTGTTATGACCCAAGTGTAGGACCTGGCACTTGGCCTTGTTGAACCTCATACAGTTGGCCTCAGCCCATGGATCCAGCCTGTCCAAGTCCCTCTGCAGAGCCCTCCTCCCCTCAAGCAGATCAACACTACCACCCAGTTTGGTGTCATCCGCAAACTTACTGAGGTGCACTCAATCCCCTCATCCAGATCATTGATAAAGATGTTAAACAGAACTGGAAACCAGGAAGAGATACTAGAGGCAGGACAGAGCTGCCATATATTCTGTTTGCAGCAATTTCTATAATGGGAGGGTCTTGCACATTTCCAAGGCTTCCAAGGAAGGATAGAGACAAATCCTTTCCTCCCTTTACTCAAACTGTTGGTGTTCAAGCTTGTATACAACAGAGAGCTGCCAAGATTGGATACTTTCAAGTTTCTGCTGACTAAGGACTACTGCTTGTAACTACAATTTCTGTCCACTTGGCTGTCTGCTCTCTGCCTCCTCCCAAGTACAAACCTCCCTAAAGGAGAAATACTTCTGTCTCAGGCTTAATATTCCTCACTGCCAGTTTTAACATGAGTAGGAAAGCTTGGTTTAGACTAATCATATGTGAAAAACCCTTTTTGAGGCAATTAGAATAATGAAATTTAAGCAATACTTTATCTATTTCCTAATTATGTCGATACTTACCATCAATACTTACAAAGTCCCCAAGCAGTCTATGGAATCACTTTTAGGATGCAGTGAGAAATAAGCTGCTCTTCTGACTAGATTTTCAATGCAGTAAAGCATCTAGCTGAGATTTCATAAAGGCTTGCCACCAACGGATGGGTAGAGAGCACATTTAAGATTCTGATCTGACCTTAGAATATATATCTGGCTCTCATTTATCAGATTGATCTGTGAGTAATAAAGACAGTCCCCTACTATGTAGGATATTACGCCAGTGTGTAAGAGAATGTAGGCAATCTCATTCACCCAGAGAGACTCTTTGGTACTCACTCAGTTATGTCTAGGCAATTAAGCTCAATTAGAATATTCTAATATTATACTATTGACAGCACCTGGAAAGCTGACAGAAAATATAGCACATGCCATGGTTTTGCTTACCCACGCTGTAGATTCTGGGCCACGATTAGCAATCTGACAGGAATCATTCTTTGGCAAACCCAAGTCCAATCTGTTCAATAATTCATTGGTTTTGCTGCGAAGAAATCCAATCCAAATAGAATTGTTAGTGCTTCTATAAAAATAAATACAGCTTTTTATTCCACCCTTGGAATCTAGCCTAGACATTTTATCATGTGACTGCTGAAAAACATCACAGGTGGAACAAAGGTTATGGAGACAGACAGAATTAAATGGGATAGAGGATATAGAACCTGTATTGTGGATAAGACATTTGCTGGGAGGAATTTTTAAGCAAACAATTATTTTCATTTGCATATTTCAGGTCTACAGTGGCTATGCTTTCTTTCCTCATTGTAAAGCTCCTAAAACACAGACTCGCATACCACTGGACTTCATGAGGATGCAACTGCTCCACTGAATTGTTGCTAATCCTTCTACCAGATCTATAAATCTCAGGTAAGTAATTTAAAAGATTATTTTAAGGAATTTTCCTTCATGGTTAATACAATGCAGCCTTACAACAGATTACTTAATCAAGAAGAAAGGCTTTGAAGCATTTTGTAGCACTGAAAAAAAAAAAAAAAGCACTTGTCTTTAGTTGAAGCAGAATTGCACAACATTGTCATTTCTTATTCTGGCAAGAGCAATTTTATTTTTCCAATAGCATCCCCTATAAACCAGATTTTCATAGTATCGCTTTGCTCACAGTTTCAACCAAGTACAGATAAACAAAGTCTCAAGCAACAACATAAACAAATGTTAAGGAGTTTCGGTGCCGTGATCAGGATTCAGTTTCCTAACCGGCATTCCCAGGCACATCTATTCAAGTCTTTGCTCCCTTGAAGGAATAGAGTTAGAGGAAAGAGGCAATTTTATTTCTGTATACAGCTTTGAAAAGCATGAAAGTACTGTAGTGAGAGCAGAAAGAGTGCTTCAAGAGGCATTAAACACAAAGATTTACACTGCTAACAGGGCAACCAGCTAGCTTTGAGGGGGAGAAGATGCCACTACCAAAGACAGCTACTTAACCTAGGAGAAAAAGCCTTGGCTGCCAAAGAGTGATGATGACTAACTGCTGAAACAGACTACCAAGCATCTTTTCAACTTTCACTCCATGATGTGAAACAGTAGATGCATTTTTGGAAAATGTCCTGCCACTCAGTGGGCATATTGAGGAGAAGTGGGGAAAAAGGACAAGAACCCACAAGTTTTTCTCTGTTACTCTACACAATAAAAAAACATGTTACCACTTCAGGCATGGAGGACTTCTATGTAGCAAACCATGCTTTTAGAGTCTCAGCATTCCCAGCTCACTTGCTTTCCTCCATTACCTGGGCAGCTAACATGGACCACAGCCAATGTACAATACAGAAAGAACCAAGTGAAACATAAGATTCCCTGGTCTACAAAGCACCTGTATATGAAAGTTCAATAAATTCATAGTCTTCTTACCCAAGTGTTAAGCACACACTTTTTCTCCATGAAAGACAAGTGCTTGAGAGGTGAGATTGCACAGAATAATTTTGGGACCTTTAAAGTTTTAAATTGCAGATTTTGTATTTCTCTACCTATGCTAAAATTGCTAAAATAACAATTTACTTCTACACCAGAAAGACTAAGAACTCCTACAGAAAGTCTGGAATATCTTTGAGAAGGTTGAAGCTCTGCAAAGAAATATCTGGCAACTTGGGGGTATACCTGGTTGTCCTAATTCCTTATGGATGGCAAAAGAGTGACATGGGGCATGTGGAAGTTCTCATTATTTGCATAAAAATGGGGTGGAGGGTTAAGACACTGCATTTCCTGCATCAGCACACTGATAGATGAAAAGCTAACTCAGTTTTGGTATTAGAAAAGATGATTACAAGAGTAGAAGCAAATAAGGTTTCTCAGCAAGACTGTGCATTCCCTTTGAATACAGAAAACACCCTACTACACCAAATTAAGTAATACATTAATACCGTGCCCCTATCACAAGAAAAGGACTCAGGTTTCTGAACCTGACTAAAGACAAACTCAGTCAAGTCAGTCATATACATTAATTTATTGCGTTTCATCCCCATGGAAACCCAGCAATGCATCTGGAGTTGCCAGACTGTCAAAATATTGTCTGAATGGTATTTTTCATAATATTAAACCTAAGTCATAACAATGCGGAGCATAGCATAAGCCATGCCACAGGGAAAGGGGGAAGTCAGAGAAATGACAGTTCAATTAATGTTCCAGAGAGGAAAGCATTATCTCCAGAAGGAAATCAGCGTATTAAAGTGTCCATAGGTGTTCCACCTTCAGACGGTTGGAGCAACATCTCACTCACTTGCTAAAACTTCAAGGGCTAATCAAAGATGCTCTTAAAATGTGTTCCTCTAAACTAATTAATACTAAAGAAAGAAGAGCATGAGCTGAAGAAATTAATTTGAATACAGCAGCATCCTGATACCCTTCAAAAATAGCTAGGCAAAGGGAGATCCAAAATTTAGACCAACCAAGAAGATGGCACCCTCCTAACAGGCTGCTAACCTGACCTCTGACTACCCCTAAGCATCAGGCTGAAGGGAACAGAGACGTTCAAAAGAACGGGTTAGGCTGGAGTGATCTTAGGAGGTTATTCTGTCTTTCTCGGTAGCCCTGTTTCCACTTACACTGTTGGGAACAAGCCTTTTGCTAATTAAAATAGGCTACTCCCATACTGGTATGTTTAATAGCACCAGGCAGTACTCTTAACATGGGAACTCAGCCATCTGTATTGTGGTAACAGTTCCTGGAATAGTTTTGACCTGTTCCAAATAGCACTTTCCCAAATAACTCCTGGTTGCTGTCCGGGAATCAATATTAACCACAAGTAACTCCCAACAGGCACTTTGGATGCAACCGCCCCATTTTGGGAGGTAAAAAGTTTTCTAGCAATGGAAGCAGGCAGTCTCAGGCCTGTTGGCCTCAAAAGTGACAGTGATTGACAGTGTTTAATTTAGTAGTAGAGATGCAGCCGTGGGGGAGTGAAGGACAATACTGGATTTGGGGGCTGAAAAACTCTTAAGAGCTATCATGGGAAAATACTGACTCTGCTGCCAGGATCATTGAGTAACGTGCTAGGAGGGGACAGTGCATGACTGTGGAAATCAGTCCATGTTGCGGATACTTTCTGTGGGTCCTCAGATACACGGCTTTACATTTCACAACTATTCTTCAGGCAGAGTCCTTTCTTAAAAGCTGTTATGTAAAAGCACATACTTGAAGCTCAACAAGTACATGTAAAATGTAGAAACATGAATTTGCCAGGTGTTCCACTGAGAATGGTGTAATTTAGAGATTTAGAGTTGGCACCCTGCACTCACAAGCTCATTGTAGATCAGGGGATCCACACACACTTCTTACTGTTTGGGATGAAATGCATGTGCTGCCCACATTCCCACTGGGGCGAGACAAGGAGTGAGCTTAGGTTCCTCTCACCTAGGTAGGAGTTCCCATGCTCTAACAGGGTCAGCAGCCTTGACAGCTCAGAAGCAGAAAGCTCCACAGTTGACTCCAGCATGCAACTGTGGAAGATCTGAACACCCACAATTGATCTTGCTGCAGGACCTGAGGTCTAAAATCCTGCACAGAAAATCCCGTGTCTTTAACTTTGTGGGTCATTTGGTCTTAACTCTTGTCACGTCTACAAGGCAAACAGAAAAGCCAGGTCTGAAAAGGATTCATCCTTAGGGACATCCTTGGGGGTTGGACTAGATGACCTCTACGGGTCCCTTCCAACCCAAAACATTCTATGATTCTATGACATGAATAGGGAAATGGACTCAGGCCTCAGCATCTTCTTCCACCTGAGAGTCGTGCAGCACCACTTGCTAAGCTTTTCATTTGAGACTGTATTCCCTTCAGAACAAAGATGTAAAGAAAATAATTTTTCTGCCTACGCATAAAGTTCTTGCCTTTAAGTCTGTTTTACGGACTAACATTTAAAATGCATCAATTACAAAGGCTTCTTGTAATCTTCATTACTGCTTCCCAATGAAACCAGTGGCAGTTAATTCTTTTGCTTTAATTGATGGATATTGAAATGCCAGGATACAGAAAAATATAATGGCTTTTATGCCAATGCTTTTGAGAAAAAAAAAAAAGCAGCACAATACTTTTGCATATATCATAAGTCTATTTATTTCTCTTGACAATTTTTAAAAGATAATGGCCACTTTTATTATTGCTGAAAACAAGACAGCTCCTGAACTCCTTGTTTTCTCAAGCTGCAGGTTCTCCAGCACTATAATTCTGCTCTAATGAACGTCCACAAGTAGGCTAAGAGCCATTCAAAAACAGTAGTAAAAAATAAAAATAAAGAATCCCAAGCCAGGGATTATAGCCATTATAGCCATTTCAGAGAAGAGACAACATGAGTAGTCGCTAGGACAACAGAAGTAGCATCTAGTGCTGAATGACATGAACACATCAGCTTCCAAATTCATTGCCAGTAAGCAATGCTAAAGTGATTTTCACCATTTTCTTCCAATTCAGCTGAAAAACTAAGAACCATGCATAATGCATACATAATGTTAGTTTCACACATCTGCCCAGAAGTTTCACAATGATTTTTAAACAATGGCAGGACTCCCCCTCTCAAAAACAAAACCAAAAACCAGAACTGAACTTCATGCAAGATGCATCTTTTTGCAGCACCAGCAAGCACATCTACACTTCTCCCCACTTCAACGTATTTAATAGGCTAAGCGTAACAACTTCCTCAACTTTTGCAGAAATGAAGATCGGTTGCTTAACACTACCCAAGCCTACCCACAAGAAGTGCTGCCCTTCATATCAGTAAAGTCCATGGTGGGTGCATTCTTACTGACGCCCTTGTTCCTTCCTCAGCAAGGGCTCTGCCTTGTGCATTGCCATATAGTATCATAGAATCATAGAATTGTTTAGGTTGGAAAAGACCTTTAAGATCATCAAGTCCAACCGTTAATCTAACCCTGCCATCCCACCACTAAACCATGGCCCTAAGCACCTCGTCTGCCTGGCTTTTAAATACCTCCAGGGATGGGGGCTTGACCACTTCCCTGGGCAGTCAATTCCAATGCT